GCAAGTAACACAACAGTGACAAAAACTGTTTAAATATTTGAGCGAATCACATAAGACAATGTGATTGGTATTGATATGCCGATGTAATATAAAACGCGTTCTATATAACAGAGTCAGAAAGATGTTCACAAAAAAGACCTTCCTACGATAAATTAGCTAACGTTGCTTAGAGGGAAAATAAATGCAATATCGGACCCTTACTTGGCGTAGGCAGAGGCTTCTGGCAGGCTTTGGTTTTAATATTTTGTATCACTTTTCCAAGGGATCGGAAGGAGACCGTAAACACATGACTGTTATCAGTGGCTATCTGCCTCAGCTGTGATTTCCTGTATCCTCGTCCAATTCCTAACACGAAGATCTCGCAGCCTGAAGCTCGGAGACGGCGCGCCGGCGAGCTTACACTGTCCTGGGAAACGCCATCAGTGAGCACAACAAGCACCCGTTTCCTACCAGATGCAGGTCTTCCTCTGTAAAGATAGCGTCGGGCAAATGACAGTGCCTTGCCGATGTAGGTACCACCGCGAGGATACCTCAAGTTGTCAATAGCTCTCAAGATGAGGGCTCTAGTATAGTACCGGTTGAAGTTGAAGATGGGTATAGACCGGCTCGTGTACAGGACGACACCGACATGTGTTTCTTGGCGAGATATTGGAAAGAAACTCACGAGAGACTTGACGAAGTTGAGCAGGCGCGCAAAGTTTCCTCTGCCATAACGCTCGATACTGGACGAGCCATCAATGAGAAATCCCAGATCTACGGATATCGCACAAACTAAAGAGAAAGACAGAAAAATAAATGAAAATATAAGTTAGTGAGGGACGGACATAACACAAACTAAAGAGAGACCATTTTACAGTTGTCTGCTCAATGACCCAGCCTTTGAATAGCAGCGAGGCTATATCGAGGTGACCTTGTTTTGATATAGACCTCATTGCTTTCGAAGTGTAAATCAAATTATTCTTAAGCTAACTAGTTTGCATTCAGATGAGAAAAGCAGAGAGGTTTGTATCAAAGCAAGGTCACCTCCAGCCTCGCTTGCTTCATGGGTCAGGTAACTGAGCACACAACTGTAAAATAGACTATTGCAAGTAATTAAGGAAATGACGTTTAATTAGAGTGTTTGGTATAACCAGGACCTGCGGTAATTTTCATCTGAGCATATTTTATAATAGATATTTTATAATATAATAGCGGCCAAAGTAGTCAACCACGTTATGAAATAAGGAAGAAAGACTCTTTGATCCACTAATGACAAACCTGGTCGAGCGGTAGTTGGCTTTTGCGTTGGTCTTGGCGTAGGTACTGAAAATAGACGGAGGAAATAAGATTAGGTTAAGCTGCCTTATAGCTAAACGATCACCTTTCCATCACATTCTGCCATCATGGGCCCTCCGGAAAATCTTTCATAGCATTGTAAATCCTGTCCAAAATTGTAACTCTCAATTTGGTACAGAAATCTAAGTCCATGTAATAGACTTAACTGTGCAGTATATCTACTATACTTGCACGTCAGTATTAAACAAAAACCTATAAATAGCCATTTTCAAAACATAAACCCAACCAAACACATTTGGCTGACTTCTCTGTGTTAATAAGACACTTTAATCAATATTAGCCTTCGATCAAAATCAATAAGGGACTTTTACAGTGTGTTGTCTTCTAGCTGGTCACCAGGCCGTCTAATCGGGATAGCTTCTGCACTATCTTCGAAAAATCGTTGCAGTGGCAACGTTAGGTTAGCTAATGTGATTAAGTTTGTTTGGTTATAACGTGAGTTTCACTACAACTGCCACTTCAGTTCATAGATTAGAGAGTCTGGCGGCGAATACTGACGAAAGAAATTTGACCGACAAACAAATTAACTTTTAATAAAAGCTGTTATTTGAAGCTTCCAGTGTAGATATTCTCTGTTGGAAGAACATCACGGTGGGGAGGGCAAGTAGAGTTATTATGCTTGAATCTCGTTAAAATCTCGTTTAAAGTCTCATCTCCTATTCCTTCGTTGCTAATTTTAAAAAGAGCAGACAACCTCTTCAGTATCTTTTAAGTACCTGTTCTGAAGCACTGCCTCTGCCTAGTAACAATCTGTGCTCGCGTTAAGGCCCTGTTATATATCTGCAAACAAGCAATACGCCCACGAAACACGCGACGGTCCCCTGGTCTCTGACCCACAATGACAGGATAGTTAGTAGCGAGCCCCAGAGTGAATTTTCCGACATTCCTTTAAGATACAGGGTTCCCATTGATCCAAAGAGTTGCAAGACCTGTGCGATGGTCGTAAGTAGCAGTGATGTAGTTCCAAGTGTACCGCTTTAGGCTTCGGGTTGTCAGCGGTTTCACATTACGACGCGAGCCTCGCCTCGGCATCAACCGGAAGTAGAGTTCGTTGGGATGGGTCAGCCACAAATGGAGGCCCCATCCCTTGGGATTGTAGTGTACTATGGGTCCAGGTTTCTCCGGGTAGATCCAGGCAATGATCGTTATAGAGTACCGTGTGTCTAGACACCCGTCGTTTGGAATCAAAGCATAGCTTCCTCTTCTTCTTCTCCCTCTTGTTCTTCGTAGCCCTGGGAAATAGTAAGCTCCCTGTGGATGTCCGTCCGGGCCTTGAATGAATGAGAGCCCCTTTATCTTTGCCGTCGGGTTCCTGTACTTGCTAGCGTCACGTCCGCTTGAGGCACTCGTAAATGGGTAAAGAGCCACAGCTCCACTTGATACGATTACTATACAATGAGAAGAATCCCAAATAAGTATGCCTCTTGCACTGGTATTAGTATAGGTAATCGTATGAATGGGAGTGCATATTAAGGATTTACACTAAGAGTTTACCAAGATCTATCATGATAACAACGTTAAACTCGCTAACCTGTTGAACTGCAAATCTTGTCTTGGATTATTCTACTAAGTGACACCAGTTGTCTTGTATGGACTCTAAACACCTGTTTACACACAGTAGCAATACGCTGCAGTGATTTCCTCCTCACTGTACCCAGACCAATCGCATAAATTTCAACACCGGATGAAAACAAGCGTCCTGCCGGCATTTTTACGGCATCGCGCGACTCTCCTGTTGTCAAAACAATGAGGACCCTTCTGCGTCCGCAACGAGGTCTGCTTCTAAACAGATACCGCTCTGTGTAACTCAGAGCTTTTCCTAGGTATCTACCCCCGCGACCGTTCAATTGGATCTGGTCTATTAGTCTGCCAATTCGTACTGGATTGTAAGTTCTCCCAAAGCGCAAGATCAGCCTGACTCTAGAGGTGAACTGTACGATGCCGATTCTCGTTTTGGAGACGGATACTTCAAAACGCCTGATTGTGTCCTTGATGAATCGCAGGATCGCGCGGGAACCGTATCTGCTGCGGGATGCGTCAACGAGGAAGCCAAGATCGATTCGCTGCCTACAAACTAAACATTTTATGGGAAAGAAAGTAAGGTTACGGCTCTCACAGTGAATATACTTTTTAGCTCTTTAACATTCGTGAGAAGTTGCATAAAATGATGTAGACACCAACGGTAGGGCAGTCAGAAAAACAAAGTCTTATCAAAATCCGTCAGTTTCGTTTAGCATGGCCTGTGCTTTACAGCAACTGAATGCCTCGTACTAGGAATAATTAGTTGTTGTTCTTAGTCTTTCCTAACGATCTTTTGTAACACGCTACTTTTTGGCTTTCGACCGAATGATGTTAATAAATTATTCTCACTAAGATAAATACAAAGTCAGCCTTACCACGTGGGGCTGGTGTTGGACTAGGCTTGGGAGGAACAGTAGGAGGTGGAACTGCAAAAGAAAATCATATATGACAACCCTTACCTCGGCTTAGGTGTTTGCTAAACTTAACAAGTTGCTTGAAGTCCAAATGTATATAGTAGTCCAGGGGCCCGTTTCTCGAAAGCCCCGGAAACCTTTCGGGCCCGTAGAGCCATTTGTAGTTCATCTGTGTCTACAAACGGAGAAGTGTATACGCCTGAAACTTCTTCTATGAAGGGAGCCTCTGTTCATATTAAGAATACGTGAACAAAACAGCTTTGTAATCGTAAGGTTCGTTCCGGTCCCGAAAAGTTTCCGGGGCTTTCTAGAAACGGGCCCCAGGGCCCGGTAGTTCGAAAGGTGGGTAACGCTATCCACTGGATAAATCACTATCCATGGTTTGTTTTGTGAACACTTATCCGCTGGATAGAGATTTACTCGGTGGATTGTGTCATCCAGCCTCCTAGAAACCGAGGTCAGATGGTAAATTCAAACATACTAGTCTCAGTATAATTCTTGAAATCACCTTTCTTCGTCACGTAGTATAATTCTCATGCAGTGAAAAAATGGTTATTTTCCTTTTTTCTTTCTTTTTTTCCAGTTTTTGATCTTAGTACAAAGTAAGTACAAAAGTCTTTTGTTGTTGTTATAAAGGCGAATGGGGCGGAGTTGAATTCTTCATAGCCGTTACTTGGGTCGCCACACAACGGTTTCCTTGTTCTCTACTTAGTGGAGAGGAGCGTTACCTTCGTCACGTAACGTGAGGGTTAAATAAAGGCTGCGAAGGAGATAAATTAAGGAAAACGAAACTACTTAAGCCCTCTTTCCCTAATCGGGTATAGTTTACTGCAATTATAAACAGAACACAGCAAACGCAAACCTGGTAGAAAGCACCTCCTCTTGGCCCGGAAAATCTGTTTCTTGTTAAGCGCACGGCTGTAGACCTGCGCACAAAAGAGTCTTCCATGGAAGTAACGCCTGTCGCCAATCCGAGCGCCAAGCCTCACGGGATAGTTGGTGGATAACTGTATGCGGCCGATTCTTCTATATGCAACTGGTATCGAGTTAATGTACAGGGTGGCAATGCGAGTCCTTCGGTCGTAGGTTGCACCCACATAGTTCCAAGCCTTGTATTTCATACGTCCACTTGTAATCGGCCTCGTAAAACGCCGCGACCGTGTCACAAAGCGCGCGAAAAGTTGGCGCCGACCTGTCATCCATAAGTGGACGCCGAAGCCTCGTGGATTGTAATTAAAGATAGGCCCTGATACGCCTTCATGGAACACCCAAATAAGGATGGTTATTGAGTATCTAACGTCCAATTTTCCAGTGTTAGGAATTTCAACGTAGCTGTTTCGTCGCCCATAGAACCGTAAAGATCCGTCCCGGCGACCATCTGGGCCTTGGGCAGTACCCACACCCATGAGAGAAGCTGATGGGGCCTTAGTTCGGCTGATGTCTCTTCCACGTCTCAAACCGTCTAATGCGTACACGACTAAGGATTGTGGTATAACAACTGCAACAGATATTACCATGTAAGCTATATTTTGTATAGTCGCATTTATAAAAAATTCTCGAACGTGATCGGTTCTCCGCGAGCTCATTTGTCACGTAATCGGTGCGCAATCACATGGGTGTCCAATTATAGGTATCCAATTACAACTGTTTGTAACTGGATATCTGTAATTGGATACCTACACTATTGGCACGACAATTACGTGCACTTCAATAGCTTCCTTCTTAATGTTGCCTACAGTTTTTAAAGCTTACGGAAAACACTATTTTTTGGCTCAAAAGAAGTTCTTAAAATACTATTTTGACAATCTCAAAATTTGTTATTGCTACGATTAATTAGTAATTGGACCTCGTGTCGTACAATTCAGGGAGTAATCATGCTCGTAATTTCAAATCGGCCTTGTAATGCGCCCTCTTCCGATCTTCCGGTTATTCCCTGAATTGTACTCCACCCGGTCTACTATTTATTACTTACAATTATTTTCAAATAATAATAAGTTAACGATTGTACCTTCACAAGTATCGTCAGAAGCTTATCACCTCGTCGAGTGATAAGCTTCTGGTACCATATCATCGTGTTTAACTTTATAAGGACAGTTCCAATGATCAAGATAATAAAACAACGTTCCTATACTCTCAGTATACCAAGCAAGAAGTCGAGAACGAAAACATATAGACTTACTTCTAGTTGGCGTAGGTATAATTGGTCCAACTAAAAAAGAAGAAAATAAAATAAATACTCTATTTGGACACGTGTGTAGCAGCAGTTCAACGCATTTTAAATGCAATAACTGCATACTTAAGTTTTTATTCACTAAATTTGCCCTTGTTCAAAGTTGTACTGAAGGTCGCTATAACAAATGCGAAGGGAGGTGGAAATAGGAGCACATTAAAACCTACAAAACAAACCCACGCAGAATTATGCGTTTTCACCGTTACGATCTGTAATTATAGGTCACTTTGAAAACGAGTGATGAACTGGTCCGACCAAATCGGCGCAAGTGTTTAGAGGATTATTTGGGGAAAAGAATAAAGAAATATCGTGAGACGTATCCCTAAGAGGAACATTGAATATGATGGTGACTTAAAGTCAAGGTGCAGGTAAGGCTATAGAAGATATCGTAATCAGTAGCTATAATTTATAAAACTATCTATAAAACTAAACTGAGTTAAAGCTAGAACTTTGGGCCGTTTCTTCAGTAGCCATCCTCACCCTTTAACTACTAAGGTGCAACAGAATTAACACTATCTTTCTGGTTCCGTTGATAACTTTTCGCAGAATAGTTTAAACAACCCCACGATAAGGACATGTACCAACCTGTAGGGGTGATAAGTTGACATATTTTTGACCGTATCGCCTTGGACAATGCGGCCAGTCCTCTGAATGATACAACAGAAACGTGATTCCTATCTGTAGCAATCTGCAGTAGTTGACGCCTTTTGAGCGCTTTTCCGATACCAACCGTGAAAATCTCCACCTGTTTAGCTCTCAACAGTGAAGCCTGCCTGGCAACGCGATCCTGTGATATGCCGTCTGTAAGTATGATTAGAATACGCTTGCGATTACGGCGTCTGCGTCCTCTGAATAGGTATCTCCTGGTGAAGGCTAGCGCCTTGCCGATGTACGTTCTACCCCGCGGGTACCGGATGCTGTCGATAGCTTGCTGTATATGCGTGACAGTGTTCAGCTGGCCAAACCTAAACAGTGGAATGGGACTCGTGGAGAAGAGAACTGCGCCAACGCGTGACTGAGTTCTTGAAATAGGTAGCGTGACGACAATGGACTTGATGAAGTTAAGCATCAGCTTGAAGTTACCACGACCATGGTATTCAATGCTTCCAGAGCCATCGATCAGGAATCCTAGGTCTACAAAGGTTTTGCAGGCTGAGAAAGAAGAGTATAAAAGTTATTTAGAAACTATGGGATCCACCTTTAAGTAAGAAGGGTGGGTTAGATCAATGAAGGACAGGATGAGCGAAAACTTTTGAATAATTTCTACCTTCCCCCTACATAGTTCCAATAAATTCAGGTACATCGCTCAGAGGAAAGAAGAACTTGATCATACCATATAAATGGACCTGACTTAGAAACTAAATACTACAAACGCACATTACATAATTATAAAACAAATGCATGTATGGAATAGATAAGGAGAATTTTGAGTTTCACCTAAATGTTTGAAGTAACAAAAGAATATCCATACCTGGTGGTGGAGGTGTTGGGGGTGGGTGTCCTAACGAAATAAAAGGAATACAAAGATTTTAAACTTCTGTCTATNGCAAGGTCACCTCCAGCCTCGCTTGCTTCATGGGTCAGGTAACTGAGCACACAACTGTAAAATAGACTATTGCAAGTAATTAAGGAAATGACGTTTAATTAGAGTGTTTGGTATAACCAGGACCTGCGGTAATTTTCATCTGAGCATATTTTATAATAGATATTTTATAATATAATAGCGGCCAAAGTAGTCAACCACGTTATGAAATAAGGAAGAAAGACTCTTTGATCCACTAATGACAAACCTGGTCGAGCGGTAGTTGGCTTTTGCGTTGGTCTTGGCGTAGGTACTGAAAATAGACGGAGGAAATAAGATTAGGTTAAGCTGCCTTATAGCTAAACGATCACCTTTCCATCACATTCTGCCATCATGGGCCCTCCGGAAAATCTTTCATAGCATTGTAAATCCTGTCCAAAATTGTAACTCTCAATTTGGTACAGAAATCTAAGTCCATGTAATAGACTTAACTGTGCAGTATATCTACTATACTTGCACGTCAGTATTAAACAAAAACCTATAAATAGCCATTTTCAAAACATAAACCCAACCAAACACATTTGGCTGACTTCTCTGTGTTAATAAGACACTTTAATCAATATTAGCCTTCGATCAAAATCAATAAGGGACTTTTACAGTGTGTTGTCTTCTAGCTGGTCACCAGGCCGTCTAATCGGGATAGCTTCTGCACTATCTTCGAAAAATCGTTGCAGTGGCAACGTTAGGTTAGCTAATGTGATTAAGTTTGTTTGGTTATAACGTGAGTTTCACTACAACTGCCACTTCAGTTCATAGATTAGAGAGTCTGGCGGCGAATACTGACGAAAGAAATTTGACCGACAAACAAATTAACTTTTAATAAAAGCTGTTATTTGAAGCTTCCAGTGTAGATATTCTCTGTTGGAAGAACATCACGGTGGGGAGGGCAAGTAGAGTTATTATGCTTGAATCTCGTTAAAATCTCGTTTAAAGTCTCATCTCCTATTCCTTCGTTGCTAATTTTAAAAAGAGCAGACAACCTCTTCAGTATCTTTTAAGTACCTGTTCTGAAGCACTGCCTCTGCCTAGTAACAATCTGTGCTCGCGTTAAGGCCCTGTTATATATCTGCAAACAAGCAATACGCCCACGAAACACGCGACGGTCCCCTGGTCTCTGACCCACAATGACAGGATAGTTAGTAGCGAGCCCCAGAGTGAATTTTCCGACATTCCTTTGAGATACAGGGTTCCCATTGATCCAAAGAGTTGCAAGACCTGTGCGATGGTCGTAAGTAGCAGTGATGTAGTTCCAAGTGTACCGCTTTAGGCTTCGGGTTGTCAGCGGTTTCACATTACGACGCGAGCCTCGCCTCGGCATCAACCGGAAGTAGAGTTCGTTGGGATGGGTCAGCCACAAATGGAGGCCCCATCCCTTGGGATTGTAGTGTACTATGGGTCCAGGTTTCTCCGGGTAGATCCAGGCAATGATCGTTATAGAGTACCGTGTGTCTAGACACCCGTCGTTTGGAATCAAAGCATAGCTTCCTCTTCTTCTTCTCCCTCTTGTTCTTCGTAGCCCTGGGAAATAGTAAGCTCCCTGTGGATGTCCGTCCGGGCCTTGAATGAATGAGAGCCCCTTTATCTTTGCCGTCGGGTTCCTGTACTTGCTAGCGTCACGTCCGCTTGAGGCACTCGTAAATGGGTAAAGAGCCACAGCTCCACTTGATACGATTACTATACAATGAGAAGAATCCCAAATAAGTATGCCTCTTGCACTGGTATTAGTATAGGTAATCGTATGAATGGGAGTGCATATTAAGGATTTACACTAAGAGTTTACCAAGATCTATCATGATAACAACGTTAAACTCGCTAACCTGTTGAACTGCAAATCTTGTCTTGGATTATTCTACTAAGTGACACCAGTTGTCTTGTATGGACTCTAAACACCTGTTTACACACAGTAGCAATACGCTGCAGTGATTTCCTCCTCACTGTACCCAGACCAATCGCATAAATTTCAACACCGGATGAAAACAAGCGTCCTGCCGGCATTTTTACGGCATCGCGCGACTCTCCTGTTGTCAAAACAATGAGGACCCTTCTGCGTCCGCAACGAGGTCTGCTTCTAAACAGATACCGCTCTGTGTAACTCAGAGCTTTTCCTAGGTATCTACCCCCGCGACCGTTCAATTGGATCTGGTCTATTAGTCTGCCAATTCGTACTGGATTGTAAGTTCTCCCAAAGCGCAAGATCAGCCTGACTCTAGAGGTGAACTGTACGATGCCGATTCTCGTTTTGGAGACGGATACTTCAAAACGCCTGATTGTGTCCTTGATGAATCGCAGGATCGCGCGGGAACCGTATCTGCTGCGGGATGCGTCAACGAGGAAGCCAAGATCGATTCGCTGCCTACAAACTAAACATTTTATGGGAAAGAAAGTAAGGTTACGGCTCTCACAGTGAATATACTTTTTAGCTCTTTAACATTCGTGAGAAGTTGCATAAAATGATGTAGACACCAACGGTAGGGCAGTCAGAAAAACAAAGTCTTATCAAAATCCGTCAGTTTCGTTTAGCATGGCCTGTGCTTTACAGCAACTGAATGCCTCGTACTAGGAATAATTAGTTGTTGTTCTTAGTCTTTCCTAACGATCTTTTGTAACACGCTACTTTTTGGCTTTCGACCGAATGATGTTAATAAATTATTCTCACTAAGATAAATACAAAGTCAGCCTTACCACGTGGGGCTGGTGTTGGACTAGGCTTGGGAGGAACAGTAGGAGGTGGAACTGCAAAAGAAAATCATATATGACAACCCTTACCTCGGCTTAGGTGTTTGCTAAACTTAACAAGTTGCTTGAAGTCCAAATGTATATAGTAGTCCAGGGGCCCGTTTCTCGAAAGCCCCGGAAACCTTTCGGGCCCGTAGAGCCATTTGTAGTTCATCTGTGTCTACAAACGGAGAAGTGTATACGCCTGAAACTTCTTCTATGAAGGGAGCCTCTGTTCATATTAAGAATACGTGAACAAAACAGCTTTGTAATCGTAAGGTTCGTTCCGGTCCCGAAAAGTTTCCGGGGCTTTCTAGAAACGGGCCCCAGGGCCCGGTAGTTCGAAAGGTGGGTAACGCTATCCACTGGATAAATCACTATCCATGGTTTGTTTTGTGAACACTTATCCGCTGGATAGAGATTTACTCGGTGGATTGTGTCATCCAGCCTCCTAGAAACCGAGGTCAGATGGTAAATTCAAACATACTAGTCTCAGTATAATTCTTGAAATCACCTTTCTTCGTCACGTAGTATAATTCTCATGCAGTGAAAAAATGGTTATTTTCCTTTTTTCTTTCTTTTTTTCCAGTTTTTGATCTTAGTACAAAGTAAGTACAAAAGTCTTTTGTTGTTGTTATAAAGGCGAATGGGGCGGAGTTGAATTCTTCATAGCCGTTACTTGGGTCGCCACACAACGGTTTCCTTGTTCTCTACTTAGTGGAGAGGAGCGTTACCTTCGTCACGTAACGTGAGGGTTAAATAAAGGCTGCGAAGGAGATAAATTAAGGAAAACGAAACTACTTAAGCCCTCTTTCCCTAATCGGGTATAGTTTACTGCAATTATAAACAGAACACAGCAAACGCAAACCTGGTAGAAAGCACCTCCTCTTGGCCCGGAAAATCTGTTTCTTGTTAAGCGCACGGCTGTAGACCTGCGCACAAAAGAGTCTTCCATGGAAGTAACGCCTGTCGCCAATCCGAGCGCCAAGCCTCACGGGATAGTTGGTGGATAACTGTATGCGGCCGATTCTTCTATATGCAACTGGTATCGAGTTAATGTACAGGGTGGCAATGCGAGTCCTTCGGTCGTAGGTTGCACCCACATAGTTCCAAGCCTTGTATTTCATACGTCCACTTGTAATCGGCCTCGTAAAACGCCGCGACCGTGTCACAAAGCGCGCGAAAAGTTGGCGCCGACCTGTCATCCATAAGTGGACGCCGAAGCCTCGTGGATTGTAATTAAAGATAGGCCCTGATACGCCTTCATGGAACACCCAAATAAGGATGGTTATTGAGTATCTAACGTCCAATTTTCCAGTGTTAGGAATTTCAACGTAGCTGTTTCGTCGCCCATAGAACCGTAAAGATCCGTCCCGGCGACCATCTGGGCCTTGGGCAGTACCCACACCCATGAGAGAAGCTGATGGGGCCTTAGTTCGGCTGATGTCTCTTCCACGTCTCAAACCGTCTAATGCGTACACGACTAAGGATTGTGGTATAACAACTGCAACAGATATTACCATGTAAGCTATATTTTGTATAGTCGCATTTATAAAAAATTCTCGAACGTGATCGGTTCTCCGCGAGCTCATTTGTCACGTAATCGGTGCGCAATCACATGGGTGTCCAATTATAGGTATCCAATTACAACTGTTTGTAACTGGATATCTGTAATTGGATACCTACACTATTGGCACGACAATTACGTGCACTTCAATAGCTTCCTTCTTAATGTTGCCTACAGTTTTTAAAGCTTACGGAAAACACTATTTTTTGGCTCAAAAGAAGTTCTTAAAATACTATTTTGACAATCTCAAAATTTGTTATTGCTACGATTAATTAGTAATTGGACCTCGTGTCGTACAATTCAGGGAGTAATCATGCTCGTAATTTCAAATCGGCCTTGTAATGCGCCCTCTTCCGATCTTCCGGTTATTCCCTGAATTGTACTCCACCCGGTCTACTATTTATTACTTACAATTATTTTCAAATAATAATAAGTTAACGATTGTACCTTCAGAAGTATCGTCAGAAGCTTATCACCTCGTCGAGTGATAAGCTTCTGGTACCATATCATCGTGTTTAACTTTATAAGGACAGTTCCAATGATCAAGATAATAAAACAACGTTCCTATACTCTCAGTATACCAAGCAAGAAGTCGAGAACGAAAACATATAGACTTACTTCTAGTTGGCGTAGGTATAATTGGTCCAACTAAAAAAGAAGAAAATAAAATAAATACTCTATTTGGACACGTGTGTAGCAGCAGTTCAACGCATTTTAAATGCAATAACTGCATACTTAAGTTTTTATTCACTAAATTTGCCCTTGTTCAAAGTTGTACTGAAGGTCGCTATAACAAATGCGAAGGGAGGTGGAAATAGGAGCACATTAAAACCTACAAAACAAACCCACGCAGAATTATGCGTTTTCACCGTTACGATCTGTAATTATAGGTCACTTTGAAAACGAGTGATGAACTGGTCCGACCAAATCGGCGCAAGTGTTTAGAGGATTATTTGGGGAAAAGAATAAAGAAATATCGTGAGACGTATCCCTAAGAGGAACATTGAATATGATGGTGACTTAAAGTCAAGGTGCAGGTAAGGCTATAGAAGATATCGTAATCAGTAGCTATAATTTATAAAACTATCTATAAAACTAAACTGAGTTAAAGCTAGAACTTTGGGCCGTTTCTTCAGTAGCCATCCTCACCCTTTAACTACTAAGGTGCAACAGAATTAACACTATCTTTCTGGTTCCGTTGATAACTTTTCGCAGAATAGTTTAAACAACCCCACGATAAGGACATGTACCAACCTGTAGGGGTGATAAGTTGACATATTTTTGACCGTATCGCCTTGGACAATGCGGCCAGTCCTCTGAATGATACAACAGAAACGTGATTCCTATCTGTAGCAATCTGCAGTAGTTGACGCCTTTTGAGCGCTTTTCCGATACCAACCGTGAAAATCTCCACCTGTTTAGCTCTCAACAGTGAAGCCTGCCTGGCAACGCGATCCTGTGATATGCCGTCTGTAAGTATGATTAGAATACGCTTGCGATTACGGCGTCTGCGTCCTCTGAATAGGTATCTCCTGGTGAAGGCTAGCGCCTTGCCGATGTACGTTCTACCCCGCGGGTACCGGATGCTGTCGATAGCTTGCTGTATATGCGTGACAGTGTTCAGCTGGCCAAACCTAAACAGTGGAATGGGACTCGTGGAGAAGAGAACTGCGCCAACGCGTGACTGAGTTCTTGAAATAGGTAGCGTGACGACAATGGACTTGATGAAGTTAAGCATCAGCTTGAAGTTACCACGACCATGGTATTCAATGCTTCCAGAGCCATCGATCAGGAATCCTAGGTCTACAAAGGTTTTGCAGGCTGAGAAAGAAGAGTATAAAAGTTATTTAGAAACTATGGGATCCACCTTTAAGTAAGAAGGGTGGGTTAGATCAATGAAGGACAGGATGAGCGAAAACTTTTGAATAATTTCTACCTTCCCCCTACATAGTTCCAATAAATTCAGGTACATCGCTCAGAGGAAAGAAGAACTTGATCATACCATATAAATGGACCTGACTTAGAAACTAAATACTACAAACGCACATTACATAATTATAAAACAAATGCATGTATGGAATAGATAAGGAGAATTTTGAGTTTCACCTAAATGTTTGAAGTAACAAAAGAATATCCATACCTGGTGGTGGAGGTGTTGGGGGTGGGTGTCCTAACGAAATAAAAGGAATACAAAGATTTTAAACTTCTGTCTATGTACCTCCCAGTGCGATCAATAAAGTTTTCGAAGCTATGGAATTCCTCTAAGTCAGTGTTGGGCTTCCCCGTTGGACAACAGATATTGTCTATAAAGTCATACAATGGGGTGACGATCATCACGTCAAACAAACGCACTCGGCAGTTATACAATCTTGGACGGTGAATGATTAGTGATTAGAGAAAAAATGTCCTATTAGTATTGTTTCGGCCTTTTGGGCGATATCCCATGGACGGGCCGGGACGGCTATATTAACAAAGAAATATAATATAGTCAATATTCACAGGATAAGAAACACTTGGTCATTCTTACGTTTGAAACATCTCTTGGCAGCATTGATGATCTGCTTCCGGTTCAACGCCACACTGTAGACCTGAACACAAGAAACCCTGCCGCGGAAGTAGCGTCGATCGCCAATCTTCGCGCCCATTCGTACGGGACGATTCGTCGCTAGGCGAATACGTCCGATGTTGGTCCGAACCACTGGTCGATTATTCACCCATAGAGTCGCCATTCCCGTGTTTCCATCGTACGTTGCACCGATGTAATTCCACGCCTTGTATCGAACGTTGTTGCCATGGGTGACGAGTGGCGTGGTGAAGCGACCGTTCCGTTTCACAAACCGTGTGAAGAACTGCCGTGGTTTCGTCATCCACAGGTGAACGCCCCATTGAGGACCGGGGTTGTAGTTAAATATTAGCATAATCTGATCGACCACAATAACCCGTAGCTTGCTTATGCAATCCACGGGTTAAAAACGAAAGAAATAGTGAATTACAGCATGGGAGTGAAAGTTGAGTGATGTTACTGAATGGTTTCAATTCTGGAGGTTATTTAACAATTAGAACATTTCAAAACGTAAGAAAGAACAACGTGTGATAACAGGCCAATTCCGAATTACCTCAAGACTCTTTCTCAAAGCGAGTCTTGATGCCCATCCTTTCATATCAAAATTAGATTTCATTCACATGCAAACTGAACCCATTTTCATATGAATGGTTGTGCACCAGGCCTCGCTTTGATTGAGAGGCTTAAGGCAACTCGGAAATGGGCTATTTCTCAACGGAAAATTCACTATCTCAACCAGAAATAAAGCATGAAACACGCAAAACACTACACTCTGAATTCGCCAACAGGATACATAAATGTAACATATACACTTTCTACAATTAGCATTTTTCCTTTATTTTCTACTTTCTAATTAAACCTTACTTGGCGTTGGCTTTGGTGTCACAGGCCCTAAAAACCAGAGAAATAAAAGTATTGTAAAAATATATTACCAAAACTGCTAAAACCAACAAGTATGTAACTAGCTGAAGCCATATATAGGCCAACTACAAGTACTCGTTCAAAATTATTTGGTTAGCTAGATAATAAGCGAGCAGAGGTGTAGCAAATAGTTTCAGAACAAATTTTCATAACTGAGCGACCACCAGGAAAAACGAGAATCAACATTGATACTTTTAAATCATTCTTCTTGTTCTTGGGCGAACGAACAAAAACAATTCAAGTTAACTTATATCAACTTACTTGCACGGAAGCAAAATCTTTTAAGTTTCCTGATCTGGTAGGAATTCAGTGCGAGGTTGTAAATATGAAGGCATGAGATACGACCTCGGAAATGCCGGGGATCTCCGGGCCTCCGTCCCGAAATCGCCGGGTAATTAGTTGCTAACCGAACCCTTCCGATATTCCTCTGGGTTATGGGAATTGAATCCAGCCACATCGTGGCAAGACCAGTGTGGTAATCATAAGTAGCAGCAATATAATTCCACACTCGAGATCGTATCCTCCTGGAAATTCTCCTGGTTATCTTTCGATCGCGACTGACAAACTCCGCGCGGATAACCTTGCGGCTGATCATTCGCAGGTTGACGCCGATGCCCCGCGGCATGTAATGAAAGATCGGTCCTGCACTTTCCGGCCACAGCCATAATAGGATAGTTATGGAACGCTGTGTATCCAGGCGACCAGTATTTGGGAAGTATATGAAACTGTTAGCAAATCCTTGGAGCTGGTAGGATCCCGCCGGGAGCCCATCTGGTCCGTTCTTGGACACAACGTTGACAAGTTTGGCGTTTGGGTTTTTAAAGGGTCCAATGTCCTTTCCGCGTTCCAGACCATTGAGCGGATAGATGGCCATTGCCGGAGGTGGAACTGTTGGGAAGAACGAAACACGCGGTCAGATATCATGTGGAACACTAGAGGCTACCTAAAGGACAAGTATCATCTTATAAACCACGCGCATGGACAGAGGTCTAAACATTACGGATAGAGCGTAGCGAGGTTGGTACAAACGCTTAAAAATTTTTGATTGAAAACTCTGAAACTCTGAAACTCTACTCAATGATAAAGTATTCTAATTGGCTGATTTTAGTCGGCCCGAGGAGCTGTAACAGTGATAAAGTAGAGTACAAATGACAGTTCATTTTTAATAGCGTCTGTTGGCTTCTTCATTCTTTCAAGTTCTGTTGACTCTTCCACCATGTGGCGTCGCCAAAGCTCAAGGGGAACTGACAATCGTTCGGGAAAGCTGAAATTCGAGTTCGAGAAAACCTCTAGGAGGTTACCGAACACCCGTTTCCAAAAAAACAAACAAACAAACAAACAACTAATATTCCTTACCTAACTTTTGTGTTGGCTTAGATGTAACATATGGAGTAGGTGCTGTAAGAATACAAACCCAGAACAACAATCATCAACTTGCAATACTGAAACTTAAATCACAAAATTCCCTCACCGGCAGTGAGGGCCATATAAAGACACAAATGTTTAATCTCTCAGTCGTGTAGTCTTCCTGCCTTCCTCTTCTAAGTACAAAGGAACCGCTGGCGGAGAATGCTTAAAAATATGAATTCTCCCAACTTTCTCTTGAGTCTGCCTGAATTTTTTTAACTTTTAGAATCTGACGCCACTTAGCTTAGGGAGACTTTTCTGACCTTTTAGCGGTCATTTTGGTACATATTCATATTTACATTAGCATTAGCTAGAAGAATAAGTCTCTCTCACAAAGGAAGTTAACGTTCAATCGAAAGCACATATCCAAAGATGGCAACACAAACGAAAATGCCAAACTTACCTTTCGTTGTTGGTTTTGTTCTTGGAGTAGCCGCACATATCTTAGCCACCAATTTTGACAGAAGATTTCTTAGTCCCAGCCTTACTCCCGAGAACACGTGGAAGCGATCGGTCGCTATGGCAGATAACGAGGTCATCCTGACCCCTCCACCCATTCCAACCGCAAAGATCTCAATCCCGGCTTGTCTTAGCATCTCTGCAGGTCTTCTGATGCGATCTGACGACCGACTACCCATGACGACAACGAGGACTCTGGCGCGCGTAGATGACCGCCGTCCGGTAAACAGGTATCTCCCGGCAAAGCGTAGCGCCCGTCCGGTGTAGGAGCGTCCACGAGGAAATCTTATCTTTCTGATGACTTTCAATAAGTCGTATCGGCGCGAGTAGCTGGCAAAGTTGGAGACCGGTATGGGACTGGTTGAATATGTGATGATACCCACGCGGGTGTAGATTCTGGAGACGTCGAAATATCGGATGAGTTGGCGCACAAGAGCGAGGATCTGGCTAAATCTGTATCGACTGCCACTGCCGTCAATAAGGAGACCAAGATCGATGCGAGCTCTGCAGACTGGAACAAATTGAAATTATAACCCTATTCACTTCTCGTAGGAATGTTAAGCTACAAGCACCAGAAGTCAACAGTTTCCATGCGTAGGGTGTCTTCAATCATGTGTATAAGTGAACACCGACAATTTGTTGGTTGTAAGCTAGCAAATACTCGGGGAGAAGGAAGTGTTAACCTACACTACCGTTCAAATCAAAGGGAAGAGAAAATAATCCTGTTCACTTCAATCCACAAAAACTGGGTTAGACGGCGTAATTAAAAAGATCATTCTTATACATCGCCTACCAGTTGAGGGTAAAATGGGTGCCTCGTACTCTCGAAAGACGGTTTACTTCTCCTTTTTACCCCTAACTTTTACCGACCATTTAAGTCTCGTTAAAACATCACGAGAATTAAGCAGCTGGTCACAAAAGGAATACTACATTTACACTAGTATCCGTCTAATCAAATTCTCTCACCAATGCGGTCAATAGAAGTAGTTTGAGACAAATAATGACAATATTCATGCTATCATCAAGGTTTAAAGAGTTTCAGAAACAGCACAAGCACTTACTTTTCCCGGGCGGCAGGGATGGTTCTGGAGTCGGCGGCGCAGGGGTAGGGAAAGCTGATGAAAATCAAAATACAACAATTGGATAAAACAATGCATTATTTCTTGAAGAGACGAAAAGATTTTCTTGATTATAGCCTGTGTGTGATAAACAGTTCACAAGACTAAAACAACAAATGGACATGTTAGAGAGCCAGCTACCTTTAAAACAAAGTTTCTTTGCGATCCTGATAAGCCGCAGCGGAAGTGCCACGTCATACACCTGCATGCACGTGATCCAGCCCCGGAAGTAGCGGCGATCTCGTATCCTTGCTCCCATCCTGACGGGATAGTTTGTCGCTAAACGTATTCGACCAATGGCTTTGGTAACGAC